CTCTACAACAATAATAACATGTTTCAGATCCTGATCTTTATTGTTCTTTTCGTCTATCTCAACTATCCGTTCTTGTTGAATTGATATTGGACTTTGAAAATCTTGCTGCAAACGGTGTTGATATTTATGAAGTTATGTACTTTCAAGGATGGGAAACCTTTGATCATTTAAAGGGACCAGTCTACATTGATTTGGTCAAGGATTTCTGGTTACATGCTTATGTATCCACTAATGGTCATATATGTTCTAAAGTCGGAGGGAAAAGCATCCTCATTTCTGAAGAAGATATTGCTACTCTTATCAGCCAAGATGGCTCTGGAGAAAGGTACATTAACATGTCTTGTGATTCTGTTAGGAAATATGGAATAACGACAAATATCTTTAATAAAAATACTAATAGCCACCACCCAAAGAATCTTCTTGGCAACCTTAGGGTATGGTTTAAAAAATTTATGGGTAACCCCAATCATCACTGCTCTACAAATTCCTCTAATTACATCAACAATGATCAGAAGCATATGTTGTCAACTATCACTACTAATGAAAAGATAAACTTGCATGTTGTGTTGTTTTATCATTTGAAAAATAACACCCTTGAGATTCAGGATAATAAGTAGAAGCCCAAAATGTTTATTCTTATAGGAAGATTCATTTCAGATATCCTGGTGGAAAGAGAACTTGTTGAATCTCTGAATATTCAAGAGGATGTTGTAGTCCTTATTGGACCTTCTTTGAATGGAAAGTATCTGAGGAATATGTCTGTAATTTCTAAGGTGCTTGTATCCCTGATTGAACCTAACATTGATGAGATTGATGATAGAAGAACAATTGTGATAGGCTTTCTTGTGTTCAATCTTGATAAATTTTCTGTGATCAATCAAAAATCTTGTTGTGTTAATCCTTATGCATCTACAACAAATAATAAGAGGAAGCTTTCTAATAAATCCTCTGCTAAAGGGTCTTATGTAACTTGAAGAATATTAGCAAAAAAATATCTGGAGATTCCAACTGAATCTGATGGTTCTAGAACTCCCAAGGTCGCCAGAACATCTGAGTTCTCTAGAACCTAGAAGGTTGAAGCTATTGCTTCTACTAAAAGTGGTTATTAAGTTGATCTTCTAGAGTGTGTCTCCTTTGAGAACTCTATTGTTAAGAATGTGTTAATTTCATCTTCTCATACATCCACTATAAATTCATTTCCATCCATTCCACCTCTTGTTTCCACTTTCAGAACAATGACTAATCCCCAACCAAAAAATCCAAATGTTTCATAAGTCACCACTTCTAATCCCAATCATCCAAACCCTTCTGATGTCACCACTTCAGTTGCCACGACCTATAAACCACCCTCACAACAATTCTCACCTTCACTCACCGTCACTCTTCCACAGCCATCAAATACCATCTTTTCTGAATCCCTCACTACTCAATAATTACCCTAAATACTTCTTCAAAAACTCTTAGAATCTAAGATTTATCTCTCTTGTCCTCAACAAAACCTTTATTCTTCACCCAACCAACCTAAACCTATGATTACTGAAGCTTAAGATGGTGCATCTAAAGACTGTGTGTTTGAAGAAGCTGATATGAGTTTCTATGATTTGCCTGATAGAGATTCTAGATCTTACTGTGAACCACCCCCACATTTTTACAATAAAACGTGTACCAGTATAACACCCTTGGATGGGTTGATGCATTCTTTTGAATGGTTTGCTCAGGACACTCTTAAGTATGTTGTGGAAAGCACTTATGACATCACATATCCTGAATAGACTTTTGCCACCACCCAAAGAATCTTCTTGGCAACCTTAGGGTATGGTTTAAAAAATTTATGGGTAACCCCAATCATCATTGCTCTACAAATTCCTCTAATTACATCAACAATGATCAGAAGCATATGTTGTCAACTATCACTACTAATGAAAAGATAAACTTGCATGTTGTGTTGTTTTATCATTTGAAAAATAACACCCTTGAGATTCAGGATAATAAGTAGAAGCCCAAAATGTTTATTCCTATAGGAAGATTCATTTCAGATATCCTGGTGGAAAGAGAACTTGTTGAATCTCTGAATATTCAAGAGGATGTTGTAGTCCTTATTGGACCTTCTTTGAATGGAAAGTATCTGAGGAATATGTCTATAATTTCTAAGGTGCTTGTATCCCCGATTGAACCTAACATTGATGAGATTGATGATAGAAGAACAATTGTGATAGGTTTTCTTGTGTTCAATCTTGATAAATTTTCTGTGATCAATCAAAAAGCTTGTTGTGTTAATCCTTATGAATCTACAACAAATAATAAGAGTAAGCTTTCTAAGAAATCCTCTGCTAAAGGGTCTTCTGTAACTTGAAGAATATTAGCAAAAAAATCTCTGGAGATTCCAACTGAATCTGATGGTTCTAGAACTCCCAAGGTCGCCAGAACATCTGAGTTCTCTAGAACCTAGAAGGTTGAAGCTATTGCTTCTACTCAAAGTGGTTATGAAGTTGACCTTCTAGAGTGTGTCTCCTTTGAGAACTCTATTGTTAAGAATGTGTTAATTTCATCTTCTCATTAATCCACTATAAATTCATTTCCATCCATTCCACCTCTTGTTTCCACTTTCAGAACAATGACTAATCCCCAACCAAAAAATCCAAATGTTTCATAAGTCACCACTTCTAATCCCAATCATCCAAACCCTTCTGATGTCACCACTTCAGTTGCCACGACCTATAAACCACCCTCACAACACTTCTCACCTTCACTCACTGTCACTCTTCCACAACCATCAAATATCATCTTTTCTGAATCCCTCACTACTCAATAATTACCCTAGATACTTATTCAAAAACTCTGAGAATCTAAGATTTATCTCTCTTGTCCTAAACAAAACCTTTATTCCTCACCCAACCAACCTAAACCTATGATCACTGAAGCTTAAGATGGTGCATCTAAAGACTGTGTGTTTGAAGAAGCTGATATTAGTTTCTATGATTTGCCTGATAGAGATTCTAGATCTTATTGTGAACCACCCCCACATTTTTACAATAAAACGTGTACCAGTCTAACACCCTTGGATGGGTTGATGCATTCTTTTGAATGGTTTGCTCAGGACACTCTTAAGTATGTTGTGGAAAGCACTTATGACATCACATATCCTGAATAGACTTCTGCCATTTGGTCCAGTTTTAGAAGATGGGTGAATGTTAATTCAAACCTCATTGAAGTATCTTGTACCCATGAAGCAAGGAAGAAGCATGAGGCTATGCTTGTTGCTCAAGCACCTCCTTCTATTGCTCTCTGCTTGTCTTCTTTATAAGTAGTGATTCCAAAAGCAGATGATGCTTCTCCTATGGATGTTCAACCTTCAGACGTTGTTACTTCTACGCTAGTTAATTCTGGAAAGTCTACCTTTGAAGACGGTACCCCTTCTAGGTTTTTGAATATTGTTGCTTCTGAAAAGACCCCTTATGGGTTGAAGGAGACTCTTGATGAGCTGAAGAAGTCAAATGCTTTCATTCAAGCACGTCTAGACAAGCAAGATGAAAGATCTGAGAAGCATGATGCTTCTATCGATTCTATTACCAACATGATGAAGGACATCATGCATACAATGTTTTCCCCAAAATATGTCGAAGCATCCAACACCAAAAAACGATTAAACATAAATCAGGTTTATGATAACAACATATATAATATATATAAACTTTAAATAAATTAAAAGATCAAAATAATCCCATTTTAGAACCCTAATAGAATACAAAAAATCTCAAATTTAAATTGAATCATATATGAGTGGCTTTGATACCACTGGTTAGATCAGTTCATAACCCCTTATAACTTTATCTAATTACATAATGATCTTAACACGCGTAATATTATAATTGTGATCCAAAAATTCTAACATTGGCAGGTCGTGATATAACTGAAATAGATGAAGAACTTTATAATGTTTATTTTGTTTTTACTTTGTTCTTTTATTATGTAAGATTTAACCAGATAGATAAAGAATGAAGTGATATTTTGTTGTGACCGTAATTCTTGCTATGCATTTTTTTATTGTATTGTATAATCCTTACTTTGAATAAAAAGGTGAAATAAATTATGTACTGTAGATTAAGAGAGGGTCTGTAATTCTGTTGCAAAATTGAATCGTCTTTGGTAATTCAACATGACTATTTCTTAAGTCTATCATGACATTTCTAGATTTAGTGAACATAAGGGAAACATGTCATTGTTGATGTGAATTTATAGCTGTCAGGGATGAAATATAGAAGGTAAGATAGAAAAAAATAAAATCTTATTTGTAAATATATATATATGACGAATAACTGACTTTGTAAAAATGATGTTTATGGTAAATATTTATATATATCAATTATAAATTAAATTGTCAAGCGCGAAGTGGCTCAGTGATAAACATATATGAACAATTTTTATGTTGGATGTCACACGAGCAAAAATAAACACCGCTTATAAAAATTGGATGAAAAAGACTTAAATAACGATGTTTCAGGATATAAGGGATTATGTTAGTCATTTTAAAACTTAAGGAACCAAATTGAACAATGAGATAAAGTTAATAGACTAAAAAAAGTATTTTGGCATTAATTAATCTACAATGACAAAATGGAAATATTTTACAAATTGTAAGGGTGTAGGAATAAACTTAATGGGTATAGTTTTTATTAGAGATGAGAAAAGCTTTTCTTTTCTTTTTCAAAGTACCGAGTCTGGCCCAAATTCCCTTCATTAAGTAGCATCAAAATTCAAAGTTCAAATAGCCCTGCCAAAAAAAATTGAAACATGATACTCGATGTTAAAATATCCCACCAAAATGAATCATCCACGTCATCAATCCGCGCACTGTAAAACCAACTAATTAAAGCCCACTAACCATTCCTATATAAACAATTCCACGCTTGAACATCAAATCACAATTCAAATACCAATCTCAATCTCAGTTAAAATTATCTCTCTCTGATTTCAATTTCTTTTAGAGCTTGTAATCATCAATGGCGCCCAAGGGAGAGAAGAAGCCAGCGGAGAAGAAGCCTGCAGAGAAAGCACTTGCCGCCAAAGCTGAGAAGAAGATCCCAAAGGACGCTTCCTCCACTGACAAGAAGAAGAAGAAAAACAAGAAGAGCGTTGAGACCTACAAGATCTACATCTTCAAGGTTTTGAAGCAGGTTCATCCTGACATCGGTGTCTCCAGCAAGGCTATGGGGATCATGAATAGCTTCATCAACGATATCTTTGAGAAGCTCGCTCAGGAATCTTCTAGATTGGCTCGCTACAACAAGAAGCCAACCATTACTTCTCGGGAGATCCAGACTGCTGTTCGCCTTGTTCTTCCTGGTGAGCTTGCAAAGCACGCCGTTTCTGAGGGAACTAAGGCCGTTACAAAATTTACCAGTGGTTGAGTTCATATGATTCTCTGTATTTATCTTATTTAGGGTTTATGTAAAGTATATTTTGGATCGCTTTGTATTCATGTAGCAATTTAGTTATATCCAATTAAACTTCATTTTCCCCTACGCTCCTTTTGCTTGTTTAATTACTTTATGCTTTTTAATTATTTAAATTTATTTCAAATATGAAATTAGGAGACGATAGCTATTTTTACGCAGTTTTCATATTATATGGATAAAAAATAACATTTATAAGGTGGTGCCAAGGTTATACCATTTCTTTCTTTTGTAAGGTGGTACCGAGGTTATACCATTTCATATTATATGTAATTAAGGGAGAAACTCTCGACGTGAGCACAACTTCACGGTAATCTTCCTCACGGCGGCGGCGGTACCAGAGTTATACCATTTCTTTCTTTTGTTCCTTTTGTTTCCTTTAATTTTTTGTTTGTTTATTCTACTGTTGAAAGAGAAAAATTGGAAGAGGTTTGTTTAAGGGTCAAGGTTTATCATATTTATGTTGTATTGATTAAGTTCTTATTTGATTTATTTTGCTATTAGGTTAATTAATTTGCTGTTGATTTATTCCTGAAATTATGGCATCATCCAGAAATTTGTCTGAAATTGAAACTGAAGTAAGTTACATGACTGATTTTTGTTGTAATGACTATGTCTTTGTTTGTTTTGTAATGTCTTTATTTGTTAAGTGAAACTAAACAATTTTTTTCAATCATTTTAAGGTACGAATGAGGCATTGATGTAGCCCGGTTAATTTGAGCACCATCAACAAAAGCTTAATAGCAACTCAATGTGCACGTATCGAATGCACCACATTCAAATGGGCATTGGATATTTCTAACAACTTCTCAATCACGAGTGGCTTATTATGGGAGTTAGTAAGAAGATGAGACAAACGTGGTAGGGGATTTATGGTAAGAGATATGATAGTTCTCTTTACCCTTGTTGATGTTTGTTTCGCTCTTGGATTGTCTATTGTTGGTAAGACCCTTGTAGTTAAAGACCAACAATGTGAAACATTAGGTCTCTTTATAGGGGAAGAGGTAACCGTGGCCAATATTGTCAAACAAATTCATGTTCACAAGAATAAATTACATAATTTTGCTAGACTTTACATTATTACTAGCATTTGCAAAGTTTTACTTTTCAAAAACTGGAAGTAAGATCTTTACAGGATTTATTAAGCACTGGGATGATTTGGACTCACTTGATACATATAGTTGGGGTCTTGTTGTATATAACTTTGTGGTTTCTAGTTTATGTGAGTCTTTAGTTGTGTTGAAAAAAGGAAAAAACAAGTCACAAAGACATTTAAATGGTGTGTTGTCGTATAACAGGTATATAGATTATATAACTGTTTAGTACCATCTTATGTTTTGTAATTTATAGTTTACATCTTATACTTGTTATATATTTAGACATTCAACCACTTATCTTTGGGGAAAGCACCTGCTGTTTCTAGGTTCACTTTTCCACGTGTATTGAATTGGCCAGTTAATAAGTATGCAGAAGAAAATCATTGAAAAGGCATTTGACAATAATATGGTAGGATTTTTTTGTGTGTTTTAATTGAGAAAAATAGTTTTTCATTTGTCGTTTGTTTGACTTGACTTTTGTTTTGTTAGATAATTGAAAGAGTGGTTGCAATAGAGGAAGAACTAAAATATGACATTGCCAATGTTGCGTAACAATTTGTGGATGTTTGTGATTATCAAAGATTGGTGGCAGAGAATAAATAATTCAAATAGAGGATATCATTTTTTGTGAATGAAGTGAGGATGATCAAAGAGGCAAGAGTTAATACTCCATTTGAGAATGAGGATGTTCAAGATGATCGACAAATTATCAACTTTATCACTGAAGTTCAAGTAGGAACTTCTGTTGGAAATGTTGGAAATAACACTCCACCATATGTTGATGTCAATGTTGTGGAAAACTTAGCAAAGTCTACTTCTAGCATGGCTACAAGAATAAAGAAGAAACCAAGGAAGCGTGGAACAAATTCTATAATGAATTTGTAAATCATTAGTGTTCTAGTGTAGAATTTGGTAGAATTTGATGTGTTGTAGTAACCTTATTTTACACAATGTTAACAATTTATGGTTATGTTTTGTTTATATGCACAATGTATTATGATTATGTTTTAAGACAACAATCACGTGGTTACATGTGTTAAGTATGTTGTAGTTCATTTCGTTGAGCATGTTATATGCACTACATTAACCAAGTTTGGTTTAAGAAATTTTTCCTCTTTTGGAATCTTGGTCTGCATTAATCAAAATTAGACTCCCAGTAACCAACTTGTTACATTATATTAACTAAATTTTGTTTATTAACTTTCATTAATTTCCTCCAGTTTGTAAGTCTGGGACTGCATTAACCAAGTTATGACTTTCACTAACCAACTTTTTGTACTACATTACCAAGTATTTTTTATTAATTTCCCCCTGTATGTAAGTTTGGGATTGCATTAACCAAGTTTCCCCCTATTTGTAATTGCATTAACCAAGTTATGACTTTCACTAACCAACTTTCTGCACTACGTTAACCAAGTTTTTTTTAATTAATTTCCCACTGTATGCAAGTCTGGGACTGCATTAACCAAGTTATGAATTTCATTAATCAACTTTCTGCACTACATTAACCGAGTTTTTTAAATTAATTTCCCCGTGTATGTAAGTCTGGGACTGCATTAAATAAGTTATGACTTTCATTAACCAACTTTCTGCACTATATTAACCAAATTTTTTAAATTATTAATTCCCTCCTGCATGTATGTTTGGGACTATATTAATCAAGTTATGATTTTCATTAACCAACTTTTTGCATTACATTAACCAAGTTTTTTTTAATTAATTTCCCCCTGTATGCAAGTCTGAGACCGCATTAACCAAGTTATGACTTTCATTAACCAACTTTTTTCACTACATTAACCAAGTTTTTTTAAAATTAATTTCCCCATGTATGTAAGTCTGGGACTGCATTAACCAAGTTATGACTTTCATTAACCAACTTTCTGCACTACATTAACTAAGTTTTTTTTATTAATTCCCCCCTGTAAGTCTGAGACTGCATTAACCAAGTTATAACTTCCATTAACCAACTATTTTCATTGTATTAACCAACTATTTTATACGGAATATGCACCAACAAAATTCCGTACAAAAGTTCCACAACGCAACTGATCTTACTAGTTGATCAGAACCTTCAAGCTGGCCGGAGGATGATCTTTGACGGGCTAGAAAATTGAGGAGAAAATAGGGTGTACCTGTAAAGCACTCTGATGATCAAGTAAGTGTGGGAGCAAAGAGATACAATCAAAGTATTAGGATTTTAGAGATGAGTAGTGAATACCTGGATCTCATAAGTGTGAGAGTTTATATAATACCCCTGGCGCGTAGCCATTGATTCTTGTTTTTGGGCCTAGATATACGGGTCTGTGAAATTAGGAACTGCCAGGACTCGGTCAAACCGAGCAGAGTGTTCGCAACTAGCCGTTGGTCCCAAGAAGGAAATAGGTTATGGGCAATGGTTTGGTCAGTTTCTGGTTGTCTGGCCAACTTGATATCAGGCAGACGAAGAAGTGTCGGTCAGACGCCGCCGGTCTCGCTAGTCTAAGAGGGCAATTGATCGGTGGTGTCTGACGGAGAGCGGGGGACTTCGGGCCATGGTCGTACGGACCGTGCTGAAGGTGGAGTATAGGCTGGGCCTGCTTTAGCCGTTGATCCAGTCTAGAACAACAACATTTACATGACAAAAGTTACATAAATTTACATGACAAAAGTTATTTAACAAGAATGCAAGATTCCGCCTAAATAACCTGCACCACTAAAATACCTCTAATTAGTGTAGGACATGTTTGAGGAAGTCTTGTTGATGAAGTTCCTCACATCTTTTTCACAAAATAGAATATTTTCATGCCCTCCCGTATCTTTAACTAGCGATTAAAAAGTCTTGTTGATCCTTACTCCAATATCATCATTGATTTGGATTGTTCTCCTTACATGTAAGTTCATTTTCTTGTTGGCCTTGAACAATCTTGCTATAGTAGGTCTAGTCTCATGAGAATGGTTAGTTTCAGATTGTGTAACGTACCACAAACCATCTTCTTTCATTTTAATACAAATCTTTGCAGGATAATTTTTCGGTCTAGATTGTAATGTCTTAAACGTGCATGATATTTTTGAACCGTTAGACCTCTCTCTTGAATATGAAAGTATTAGGTAGTTAAACTCCCCATCATCTCTATTTTTTGATTATCTAATCCTCCATCCGAAACTCTTTTTCAAAACATACTCTTTATAATATATTTTAACTTCCTCTACACAAGAAAAACACATCCCAATTTCAGGAGCCCAACGCGAATTATCGTCAACACCGTCACCATCACCGTGATCAACTTCTACATATTTCCTTTGAATACCTCCACAATCTATCCAAATATTTGAATTGTCCATTATGGCATAAAAACTGCACAAAGTATTGTCAATTAGATGTATAACATGAATTTATAACAAAGTTGGTTAATAGTGTGCAAAAACATGGTTAATATTGTGTATAACTTGGTTAATATACTCTTAGACATAACTATACATTTATAACATTATTTATTATACAATTGGTTAATAATGTTACACAAGTTGGTTAATACAATGAATAAAATGGTTAATGAACTAAGTAGAGTAAATGAATAAAATGGTTAGCAGTAAATAAATATGGTTAACATTGTGATCAAAGTTGGTCAATACAGTTTACAACACGCTTAATGAACAATCAACCAATCAATATGAAATCAATAACATTCTTTATTCATCTTTCATTGTAAACAACACAAAATTTAATTCAAAATAAGAAGATTGGTATTATTAGATGAAACTTTAATGATACCTAAAAGCTTAATGAGTTAAATCTTCATCTTCATTGCTTAATGATGTCAAATAAAATTGCTTTTTTCTTAATGAGTTAAATTTTCTTCATTACATAAAATCTTCGTCTTCATCTTCATTTAGAATGGTTGGAGATCTTGTAAAAAAATGGTGAGAGAAAGGAAAAAGGAAATGGCGCAGAGGACTGAAGAGAAAGAAGAAATGGTGGGACATGTAGTAAAGATGTGAATGGTGTTTAGAGAGAGAATAAGAAGCAGTCGTCTTATGGCCCACAACTTTTTCAAAATAACTTTACATTATTTTATTGGTTTATTTGAGTATAAGTGAACATGTTCATACGGTGTAGTGTAAACAAAAATGTAAGAATAACATTTCTATAATTATCACATGAGAAAAGATACTTTCACACCACTTTCTAACAACTACACCGTATAAATTATACTATTTTAATTTTTAATATTTCATTCTGCTTTTGTTTTTGTGCACAAGAACATTTTTCCATGTAGTTATATATTGTGTAAATACGATGTAAGCAAATCCAGTATCAAAATAGCACAACCGTTATTACATTGGGGAGACATACTTGAAAATATTGATATTATATGATAATGGTTGATAAGTGCTTGTCCATTGATAAGTCGTCCAGGGAAGTCTTTGTCATGTCAAACTCAAAAATGGATTGTGGTTAAGGGTGAGAATATGTTGGACCGATTGCTAAGTCTGAGTCTGGTCTGCTACAAAATTTAAAACATTAACCTGACCTATGGTCTATCAAAGGGTTTTTTCCAGCCTAAGTCTGACATTTTCGAAGGCCTGATTAGCCTATTAGTCTTCTTAAAAATCTTATATCATTTGAACATAGGTAAATAAATAATTCAACTAATATTTAAATATACTAGAGAATAAAAAATACAATGATATTAAATATTTATTGATATTGACTTATTTGAGCTTACATAGTAGCATAAATTTTGTGATATTATTTGTTTGGGAGAAGTTATGAAAACAACTTATTACATTATTCATAAGATTTTTTCAACTTACTCTCACAAGTTCTTGCAGATAATTATACTTTACTTTCTTATTTTAATATAAAGTATAAAATACAATATAAAAAAAATAAATGTATTCATATTTATTAAAATAGATCGGTCTGATAGACTTAAAATGCTCTATTATGGCATGTGACATAACCTATTTAACTAAATAAGCTTATAAAAAAGATTATGCCTTTTCTACTTAAAAAAATCATGGCCTGACCTTGGCCTGTGTAGGCTAGACCATATACTATGTTAGTTGATCTGACGTATTCTCACCCCTAGTTGTGCTCAATTTGGTTACACCTATAATCTGACCAGCCTTGATTTTTTGCAATGTACACAATCTTCCAAGCATGAGGTCTCAAGAGGCGAGATGTTTAAGGGAGAAGTCATCTAGGTAATCCGACCGCTGCATATGGACTAAAGGTCTGAATTC